GTAATTGTCAAAGGTTGTAATTGCTGCTAGGAGAACCTACAGGGCTGCATTTTGATGTTTTAAATTGAAAATGAGAAAGAGGTAAAATCTTTTTGATAAGTTTCATGAAGGACTTAATGATTATTGCCAAAAGCCAGAAAATGGGGGGGGGGGAACACCCTAAAACTGGAGCACCTGAAAGGGACCCACTTTAGCATGTTCACTAGGGCATACTAGTCATTTTCACCTTGGTCATTTTTATGTGGTTTCTAGTAGAAAATATTGGCCCATTGAGCATCCATCCAGTCAATCTAAGAATTTAGAAGATGAAGACTGGCTTAAATTATTATCTTAGGCTGTAATTCATTAAATGTATACTAAAACTAAATGTGTTTGCTTTTTGTCTTGATGTTGTATAACTCCAAAGCCTGCCTACTGAGCTAGTTCAAATACTAGCTCAACCATTTGAAAAAGATTTGAAAGATGTGGTTTCATGTCTAATATTTACTGGCAAATGCATATTGTTAACCTGTTTAGTTGGTTGGCTGGATGTGAATTATCCTCTGAAAGTGGTAGAAGTAGGCAACAATGAAGGAGGCTTGGAATGTAGAATTAGCCATACACAGTAGAACTATACCAGTGAATGAAGAATTAAGGCAAGCTCTCCATCATCTCTCTGTAATCTAATATGCTCCAGAGCCTGAATGGTCAATTAATTTTGAAAGGACACCAGGTTGCTGAACATGTAAATGCTTCTATTTTTGCTTTACCCATGTCAAAAGTGGGAGTGATCTGTGTTTTACAACAGAAGCTATCCACTGGGGAGGAGAGCTGAATTTTGTTCACTACTTTAACTTTGTTATGCTATGTTGCTTTAACCAGCTTGCCTTATTTCCAGGATCAGATTAGAGTTAAGCTGGAGAACTGTGTCCAGAGTAATGAAATGTAAAATATGGATGTAGTTTTGGTCTCATCAACAATGAGACCATTTGTATACACACATTTTATATATGAACTGGGTAGACATATGAAGAAGAAATATGAATTCTCTGCCCTTTAATACATTGAAAGCAAAGGATAGAACAGTGTAGGTGAACATGGTACTAACATTGTTTTTGAAAATATGCAGACACCTGTAGCATGCTGGTTCATCTCTACATGCTGTAGATTTTACAGATTGGATATATGACGCATCAAGGCACATACAAAGCAAACTTCTAATCTCCATTAAACTGATACCCACCTTGCCAGTGTGTGTATATATACGCACATACTTTTTCAATGTATGCTTTCACTGGATTAACAGAACTAATTTGTAGGCATGCAGTTGGTTAATACATTTTTGAAATGTTAGCAGCGGGATTTACTATCAGTTTGTGAGAAATAAACTATTGTGCTACCTGCAAGAAGCTAAAAGAGTTTAATATTACTTTAACGTATAGCGAATATGCAAGGTGTTAGACCAAAAGGGATTATGCGACTGACAATAGTTGCCAATTATTTTTGCATTTATTTAACTTTATTTATAGATGAAGAGAAAAATGTGTGCAGATTCTAACCCAATTCTGCATCAGCGTTCTTTTCCTTGGTTTAATATTTCAGCTTATTTAGCATAATTGTTATGATTTGCATACAAACAACATTTAAAAACTAGACCATTTACCAATTCCCTTTATTATTAGCTAGACAAGTGACACTTTACAAAAAGGCATATATCTCCAATAGTCATTTTTTATATCAGTATGACATAGGCCAGGCATCAAAGAGACATGTCCAAGGGCTTGTCATTGGCCAGCTTAATTTTTCATCCATGAACCATATAGCCAATTCTTAATTCATACTTAAAGCCATTTCCAACTAAAATGGGAAGCATGGGTTGGTTCAGAAATGGAGAGCTAGTCATGTGATTCTTTGCATCCTGGCCTTATATCCTGGAGCATTCATAGATTGAAGATGTGTCTCTGAGAATCCTCCATGTGTTAAAAAAAGCATTTGTACTGAATATCATTCCATTGTTATTTGAAATTGATGCATTGTTGAAGCTCTTTATTTGCCAACTGCAGCAAGTACTCATTAGCTAGGATTCCACAACTGTTGCTAGTCTTCTGGTTGCTTTTCATGGTGTGCTTTTAAATGTTTAAAGAATGTATTGGTGTTTAGAAGGAAACAGGAACACATTTATTCTGTGCATTTTAGTCACCCCAGCTTTCTAGGTAGACCTATTAAGGAACAATGGGCTATCTTCTCAGCATAACCACAATTTATGTCATCCTTGGTGATACTCTGAGCTTGCTTGATTTTCCATTAGGAGCACCATTGTTAGAAACATGTTATTGTTAGGCACCACCTCCTAATTTTTATTTTCTTACATTAGCCTATTTTATTTTAGAGCTTTGTGCAGATGAATGACCTTTCGATTTTTTCCTTCCAGGTGCAATCCCAGAAACTGTTTCATGGGATAGACAAAACTAACATTTTAACCAATGAAATTCAACATTTTCACTGTTACGCATTCAGATATGGATAAAATGCAATGGTAGCTTCAATCTATTTACCTGAACAAATCAATTTCTCAAATCTGTAAAGCCAAATGCTGTATTAACTATGAAGATTGAATTTTTAGCATCATCCTATGCATGCATACTCCAGAGTAACTCCCATTAAATGCAGTGGGTCTAATCCCATGAAATTGTGTATAGGATAGCAATGTAACTGTATAACTATGACATTCTGAAATGTTGTTAGACTTCGGTATGAGATGCAAGGTCAACTTCCTGGTTGTAACATTTCACTTTTTATTATAGCATCTCCTTCTTATGTTTGTCTCTTTATCCATAATTACATTTCTTACTAGTTTTTCACAAAGTTGTACAGTAGTTTTGCTTGTCGCAAATTGAACAATGACAAATTGTTTAAAATAAAATCACGTTTGTCCATGCATTTTCAGTATAGGGTTAGGCTTTATATCTCTCAATTTTCAGATAAGTTTAAAATGTTGTCTCTGCTCAGGGATTTGTGGTGGATATTGCAGACAGTGCTTAAAAATAAGAGCACAAATTTACTAAATTAAATTTTTATTTTTTGAGAAAACATATTTGTATAAATTATCAAGATTTGTAGGGTTTCCTTTTTGTAGAAATAATTGTTTATGTGCCAGATAAGAAAATCCACTTTGTTTTCAGTAATAAATGATTGATAACAAATGTACTGAATTTGCTGTCGTCTGTTATTATCAGCATTCAATTAATATTAATTGGATATACATTAACTTCAACAATAAGATTTTGTTTTTATGTGAGATATATTGACAATGGCTGAATTCATATACCCTATTGAACCATAATATGGTTTCTTTGATTTTAATTTATAATGGTGTATGAACCCAGCCAGGGTTATAAACTATCTTATATAATTTAGTATGTGAGTGAACCAGGGCGAATGGTTTGTTCAACAAACCATGGTTGAAACAAAACTTGACATCAAGCTTTATAAACTTTGCCAGAGTCACTAGCATACGCTAGACAATGATGCTTTCTGCCATACGCTTGTACACAAAGACATATTAATATATTTAGATTGGGACTGGGCATATTCCAGAATCTAAAGGTATTGTCTGGTGCCCTCTCTTATGTGTTCCTTGCTGCTTCCTGAAAAAAGACAGAGGACTTGTTTCATATCAGACCTCAGAAAAAATCTTAATATTAGGGATGTACATGTTCACAAGATTCTGGACAGGCTTCTTGGTTCAGTGTTTTAGAAAATAGGCCAAAGTAAGCTAATTATGCACTGCCTGATTTAATTCAAGGTCAAAGTTGTAAAATATGTTTCCCATTTATTAGGATGAGAAATCCAGTGGATTTAATTTATATTTTAAAGGGTAATAAGATCCTGGCTATTACTAAGGAGATGAAGACTCCTTGTGCTTGATACAGCTCTAAACTGTGACACCAAGACCCTTATCCAGTTTTGGAGTATAATGGGAGACATACCACCCCCAGATTAAGCCCTTATGTTTCCTTATTAAAAAAGAAGGAAAAATGAAGGCTCTACCAATACATTTTAAATTGGGTGGTTAGACCCTTCTAAAGCATGTGATGGTTTTTTTCAGTGTTAACTTGCTGTATGAATTTTCCAGACCCAACCAAGGTGTTTTGGAGTTTAGTTTTGTTTTGTTTTGCTTTTTTGTGTAGAAATGGAATGAGAAACTTGTTTCTGCCCTACTGTGTCTCTCATTCTTGATATTTCTGATATAATTGATAAAAATTGAGTACAATAATAGTTGAAGGGATTTGCCCATTCTTGTGTACCTTTAGCACTGGTTTGCTACATGCCTGTTAGAGTGTCATTATGACAAAATATCTGAAATAAACATACATCACAAATAAAGATAGAAATAAAACAGCTTTACAAAATAGATACCCATTAAAACTGATCAAAGAATGTGTCACATGATATACATGCAGGGATAGCTAAATCTGATGATAAAAATGTGTTCCTTTAACACTTTAAATCTATTATTTCGCTTTACAGTATCCCTTTTTTTTAATCTATGTTTATTGTTAAAATATTGAAATAGAGGGAAAAAAGCAAGATGATGCAAAAACAAGACACTTCAACATGTGAATGTTTTAAAAACCATAGAAAAAAGAAAAAGCAAATGACTTTTTAGTAATCCCCCCCACCTTTCCTTCCATTTGCGTGTCTGACTCTGAGCCACAGTTTAGATATTGGAACATTGCATCATGCATTAGTAATTGTTGTTAATTTCTTTATGAGTCTTAAAAACCACATTCCAGATGTCCAAATCTGCCTCGATCTGTGATATATTGTATATAAGGGAGCCATTTCTGCTTGAATTTAGTTAAACTTCTACTGTGGATATATATACTCTCAGTTTTGCTGTTGCAGCATATTCTCCAGTTTTAATCTCCCAGTCTGATATCAAAAGCAAGGTATCTCTTTTTGGTATCATGTACAAAATAAAATGACTATCTCCCTCCATTGTACTTATCTTTTGGGCTGTATTTTATTTTAATACAGTGCTAAAAATCATAAAACATTTTGAAACAATGAATCCTGGTAGAACTCTATCACACCAAGTAAGGCTATTCTTGATAGAACTGCTAATTCTAGCTTGTTTTGAGGAAGCTTTCTTTGGGAAAATCGTGCCTGACCCTAATAACTTTTGATCAAGTTAAATTGCTAGTAGAACTGAGCTGTTCATGAATCAGAATCATTCATGCCAGGCCAATAAAGCCAATTATTGTAGGAAAAAATGGAAAGAGCTCATCAGCATTCTTGAGACGATAATCAATCAAGTCTGCCATTCAAAATATTCATTTGATGACTGGGTACTACATGTCGGGCATAGCAAGCAGGGTGTTTTTTTTTTTTCTGGTGATGTTGTAAATGGGTATCTTTCCCCCCCCACCCCCAGGCAACTGTCATAATCGATCAGGCATCTCATTAGCCAGCTAGCCAGGATATTGTGATAGTTGTCTAGAAAGAAACAATATGCAACTTTGCAGGAAGCAACACAGTACAAGGTCAGATATTCAAAAATGTACTACTATATTTTGCCATCCTAAGAACATCCAAGACAGTCCACAGAGAATGCAAATTATTATTTTTTGAATAAGCCAAATTCAGAATAAATGTTTATGCAGATGATATATTTCCTCTTCATCTTATAGATGCCCCCCCCCCAAAATCCCAAAGTGTGAACCATGCTTAAAATGAATACATACACATACCCCAAAATCATTAAGGGTCCCTTACATATAAACAAATTAAAAAAAAAAACAAGTTCCTATGTTTGTAGCAGCAGAAGAAAAAGATTAAGGGTATACAGTTTGTCTACCAAATCCAAGGTTTGAGTGATTACTCTCCCTTCCACCTGAGCTCATTCTCTTGTTAGAATGAAGATGGTTCAGGTACTCTTCATCCATTCCCTAAGAGTTCTGATTCTGTCATGTTGCCCTTGCTGTAAAGCAGTAAAAAGAAAAAACCCTCCTAACAACCTCCTTTCAATGGGAATGTCCAGATTGTGCTTTCCCTCACTCCTGCACTGACTGGACAAGTAATGGGCAGAGACTAAAAATTCTGCAAGAAAGAGGCTAGGAAGAACTGTTGCTGCAGCATCTCAGTCTCTGATCAAATTAGCAAGTTCTGTGTGATAACTTATAGCTTCCCTTTGGTGGTTTAGGATTCATAAAGGGTCCATGTTATTAGCCTTTCATCTTGTATTTTCCAGATATATTTGACTACAACTTCCATAATTCCTAGTTATGTGCTGCTTGTCTATAATGAGAGGTATTTATGTGGGTTGCAATCCAGTGCGTTTGGAGAGCTTCAAATGTAAGATTGCTACATTGGATCCATCAGGTTCTTTGGTAACTACTGCTGAAACAACATCAGTAAAAGGCAGAGGCAAAAAGGATATGGTGACATACAGCTCTCTAACTCTTTTTTAATCAGCTATGTTGGCTGGGCACATAGGAACTGTAGACAATCTAGACAGCACTTCATTACCTATCCCTAGTGTGTGTGTCTAGTCATCAGTTAATACATATATTTTATCTATTTTATCTTTGCTGAATCTTCCTCTTTAAGGATTTGGGATACAATCCTATTGGAGGATTGGGAATCATAAGAGATTTTTCTCTGCTTGTGGAGAACATCTGAAGATGGAAGAGGAGCTCCAATTTCATAAATTTCACTGTATGGTAACAATGAACCTCCATTTTTGCTGCTCCAATCACATTAATAATGAAAATAGGGCAAGCTGGGACAAAACAAGTTATTTTGGAACTGTTGAGTCAATGGCTTCCAATTTCTTGGTAAAGTACATGCTTGGAACTGTTCAGAGAGGGAAAAAATCTGGGAAAAAAGTAAGTAGGAAAGGAAAAAATGGAGAAATTTTCTCCTCCTATCAGCCCAGCAAGATTTAGAATTAGAAAGTTCTAGTTTTCCACAGATTACCCTACCCATTTGCAACATGGTACATATCTCTACTAAACTCAGTGGGTTATTCTTCTGACTATATATTTTATGGGATTAGCTAATGCTTAAATATGCAGGCATTCAAATGTATTCAAAATTATTTTGCATAGTTTCCCAGGAGAAAAACATTTTGTTTCAAGAGCTACTCAATTAATATGGAATTGTAGTATTGTGTATAACAATCTTGTGGCTAGATGAGTTCTTTTTCCAAACTTTGATGATAATGACAATTTTAAAATGTAGTGCATTTTTTGTATTACATTGGTATGGTTCTAGTTGAAGTATGAAATTTCCAGAAGTATACAAGGAAATTAATAAAAGGCAATCTATTGTCTCTTTCTTTAATGGAAAACCATTCTTTCCTTTTCTGGTTTTTGTCCTCTTTGTGAAGACATCACTCCAGCAAATAGCAATGCATATTTCTTTCAACTTCTACAGATGCAGGAATTCAAGTTTCTTTTTGGTGCTGTTACTGAATGTTCTACATTAAGTGGCAGGGAACGTATGATGCCAGAAAGACTGTGCAATCTAGGGTCTGGGATTTACAACAAAGCTGGCTAATATCTGGGGGTGGGGGTGGGTGGAGAATAAGTGCAACGTTTTGATTTTTCCCATTATTTAATTTGTTGTTTAATATATCTCTGCCTATAATTCAATGCTTGTTCTTTTAGCATGAAAATAAAGACTAGTAATGATACTAGTTATAAAGACTAGTTATATAGATCATCAGGGAGATGGATAGATGAATAGCTGATAGATAGATAGATAGATAGATAGATAGATAGATAGATAGATAATCATAAATGATAAAGATCATAAAATAGACAGACAGACAGACCACATGCTTCCACAGGGAGGTTCCAGGATCCTTCTTTTAAATCTTGTCATCTTATGGGACCTAGGAATGGCTTTTCTGTAGCTGCCCCTGGTCTCAAATGATCTCTCCACCTCTCTGATATACAATAGGCCCCAACTCTCCTTGCCTTTAGGAAAGGCTTTAAGGCCTGGCTCTTTCCCCTGGCATTAGGGGCCTGTTGTGGGAGTCCCTCCAGTGGCTGTTTTGTTATGCACTTGGTCACCATTTTATATTTTATATTTATATATTGCCTGTTTGTTGTTAGATGGTTTTCTTTGTTTTTTTTTTCCTTTTTGATTTATTGTGTTTTTATGTTGTATGCCTCCCAAAGT